ATCCTAACAACGTCTCCTCTCGTTCCTAGAGTCTCTTGGAAAATCCACGACCTTCCTCCGAACTGCCTTTCTTTCTCTTTGAAAACTGAGTTCTAGGGAAAGAGACCGGACGATTGTTGTAACGAAGAACGATGTCCCGACCGGCCCTCGTCAGCTTCTAATCCCGGATCATCTCTCTCTCTCTCTCTCCCTTTCTCTCTATCTTTCTTTCGCTCGCACTTTCTCTTTCTCTAACTCTTTTAATATTTCTCTCATTCTTTCTCTTTCTCTCTTATCTCGTGTCGAGAGCTGGCGGCAAGAGTTTCGTTCGAGTTTCTCTACACGATTGCGAGCGCTTTTAGACCGGCCTGACGCATCACTGGAAACACAATAAAAAAAGCACGAGAGGCCGAGATCAGTATACACGCACCAATTTACGATTTTCGTACGTTCACGTCTTATAATTTTTCCCCAGCTGTGCGATCTCATTCTCTCCCCCTTTCTCTCCCCCATTCGCGTTCATCCCTCTATCTTTCCGTCTCTCGCACGATTCACACTTTCCTATCCTTTCTCTCCCTCTCTCTCTCTCGCTCTCTATCTTAGCTTCGACTGCGTGTCTTTTGCATGGTTGTCTGATCCGGGGTCTCTCTCTCACTCTCTGTCGCCTTCTAAGAATTTCGTTTCATCTGCATCAAGAAAAAAACGTCATTGAGTCGGATTAGAATTTCCGATCTTTTTCTTAGTTTTTTTTTTTTTAGCACCTCGCGTCGAATCGTAATTTAAGATCCTGACAAGAATTTGTCCGATTGCGATCTTCTATTTCCAAAGTTAAATCCGATTTGTGTGGCTAGTTGAAAATTCCTCGTTTAGATTTGCATAACGTAATCTCTTTCGCGAACGATAAGAGGAGACTGCGCGTCGTCGGGGATCGTCTCTCCGAATCGCGAACCGTTCGCGCGATTTCGCAGCTTCCGCGACGGATCGTCAAGGTGATGGAGAGTAGAAGAGACGGCGCAGCAGACGACCGAATGGATCGTGACAGTAACGTAGGTGGATAGCCAAGAGACCGTATCGGAACTGTGCTTGCGACAATGCGCCGTCTTTCTCCTCAAAATGTCATTCTCGATATTTTAGTAACGCACGTTGCGGCGGTACGCGCGCAAAATAGCAAAGACGGTAATCCGAAAACGGCTGAATTGGAAAGGAAAAGCATTCTCGCTTCCTTCCTTCGCTGAACGGCGGCCATCGTCCGCGCGCTCCGCTCTTCGTTGCAACAAACACAGTTCCGCACACTCCTTACTCGGTTACTGTTACTTGTTAGATTCGAAGTACCAACCAACAGCTGATTAGAACGAGATTAAAAGAAGAGTAAAGGGGCGGGGAGGAACGGCGAAGACAAAACGAGGCGGTGATAAAAATAGTTATGACGGAATATACAAGTGAATTACATTACTTGACCGGTGCAAAATGTTAGGAAGTCAGTCGGCCGGCGTGTGAGAGAGGCTCTTTGTGCTCGTGTAATAGTGTACAAAGCGAATGCTCATTTGTTACGTATGCGATTACGGGAAAAGTTAGTGCCAGCTGCAGCGTCAAAAGGGAGGGGATTTGTTATCGTTGCAAACTTCGCTATTAGAGCCGATCATGTCGAACTTCGCTGTCAGAACTGATCACATGTACGCGACACAACGTCGAAGCTTGGAAAGACCGGGCGAGATCGATGTGACAAGAAATTGAAAATTCGATCTCTAGGAACAACGGAACGGATTAGAATCCAGCGGTGACGTCTAGCTAAAAGTATAAAGTCGAGACGTGAACTCTCCGGGTCTGCTTTTCGCAAGTGAAATTAGAAATATAAATTGAACAGATTGAAGGGTAGTACCTTACGCGCGATATTTCTGATAAAATATAAAGAAGAGTGATCGAATGAATCGTAATGTGTAATTGCCCTTTAAAACGGACTAAGAATTTAGATTGGTTAAACTAAAAGGTTGCGCTTTATTGCGGAGAAGAAGTGGGTTTACCGTGAAACGAGTTAAAAACAAAATTGATCTGTAAATTCGCTACGTGTTTTGTGTTTCTCCACGAACCGATTTGAAGACGCATCGATCGGACGATAAAACTGATGGAACTTAACGCCAGCGAGAAGATACGGGAGAAGAGACGGGCTCCGTTTCGGATCGATAAAGAAATGGAGAGCTATACAGAAGCCGGAAGTGACTGCGGAACAGCGCAGTTACGAGCATGCATTTTAGTCGCTTCATTTCAACCCTTGCATTTACCACGTCCCGCGCGATCGTGGAATTTCTAGGTGAACCGGATCAGCCACGAAATTAATTTCCTCCCCCCCCCAGAGGGGGGGAGGGGAGGGCTTTCTTAGGATGGCCTCGATTCCAATCGAGTTTGATGCGCTTTTCAAAAATAGAGAATCCGTTGATGAGAAAACGGAGGAAACGCAACGCGCAGTTATCACTGGTGTGATCTTGTCAACGATAATTTAAAATCGGTATCTTGTAGGTTCGACATCGCGCGGATTGAATAAGCTCCTCGACAAATAATTCGCCAGACGATTGTAACGATTTTTTTTCATCCTACGATAGAATTGTAGTCGAAGCGAAACATCGACAAGTGATCAGCGTATTGACATGTCAGATATTGGATCCATCGGCTAGAAATTCCTACAGGAATCCCCTGCCAGGCTCGCCGAATACTCCCGCTCGCTGTGTTTACCCGCAAATTTAATTTAACGTCACTCCGTGTCACGCGACATCGTTGAAATTGTACGTCAGCGAGATTTACTATGTTCGAAGAACGAAGAGCCACACGCTAGAGACGCTACGAGATACGCACGTATCCTCGTGCGAGCGCCGACATCAAAGCGGAAATTAGTATGTATGTGTCAATTTGCGAATCGCGAGATATTCTTCGGGATATTCTTCGCTTTCGAATTCTTTAAATTTCAAAAAGTAAATTTAAAAAAGTTCTCGGAAAGTAAACTTTATAAAAATGCCTACATCAATTTATTAAATGACCCGACGTGAAAGGACAGTGCAATAAACTATGGGAGCAAATCCGGGCCATAAAATAGTCTCCAGCAAATTTACGAAGGTTAAAGAAGAATCTAATGAAGAAGGAGGGGAACAAGAAGATAACTGACGATTTATGCGAAGGTTCTTAACGACATTCGATGAAAAAAAAGCAATACGAAGCGTATTTATCAAAGATTGATAAAAGGAACCCCATAAGGGAGAAGACTGTCGAGCGTAATCGAAGGAACCCCGCAAATTTTCCGCCGTCCAAAATTCGCTTCGTCGCGTTGCATCGCGGGGACGCCGGGCGAACTCGTTAGGAGAGGCGGCGCGCATCCACTAGCTCCATTAATATGTGAGAGAGCCAGCCCTGCCTAAAAAGTGACTTAGCAACTCCAATGCATACTAAGCAAACCTAGCGCTATTGGCTGCTAGCTGTGTATGTACGTGTGTCTTATACGTGTGTGTTTGTACGCGCGTGTGTATCTGTGTGCAGATCCTACCCTCTAGCACCCCTACCCGATCCAACACACCCTACGCACCGCGACTGTCGGCGCCCTCGAGCCCGTCTTTACAGGACCAGCAATAGCGTATTCGGCCTACAATATATATTCCAGCCACACACGCACACATCTAACCGCACGCACTCGCATGCACGCACGTCCATATACAGGGATAAAAGGGGGATAAAATATTATATATGTAAATTTGAGTTCTTGAGGTCAGTTAAATTTCTTCAAGTGGACGTACTTTACTTAGTTAATCCCGGGAAAATTATAACGGAACGGAACGGACGTCGATTCACAGTTTTGAAAAATTGCGGAAAAAATCTGGAAAAAAAAAATACAAAAAGGTTGAGTTTCACAGTTCAATCGCGTAATATGAAACCAAAACGGCATTATGCGTAATGCTCTATTTAGGCATTCGAATTGTTCTACACGAGGGTCGGTTCCCTGTATATGCATCGTAATCATCCTGAAGCTCAAGCAGACTCCTTCACCGCTACCCTTTTTTTTCTCTCTCTCTCTTTCTCTTTCGCTCTCTTTCTGTTCCGATATCATTCTTGTTCTTTTTCTTTACGTTCTCTCCCTCTTTCTCGCTTGTAGTGAGTGTGAGTATGCGAAAGGTGAGATGCGCATGCATTCATCGAGATGCAATGCCGTGGCTTGGAACTGCATGGGAGCAACTTGCGCGAAGGCAGCAGATTTCAGTAATAACTTCATACGTTCGTACGATTTTCGCGAAAGAAGAGAGATAAATCTCTAGGTAATGAGATATGCGATATTGACAATATCTTGAGGAAATCGAATTGATTAGGAGCTATAAACTTTAAGGAGCATTAAATAAAATTTTAAAAATGTATATTCGATATATTTAATTTTTTTTTAGATTTTAAATTAAAGCTTCGGCGCATAAAAATATGTACAAAGTAATAAAGACTTCAGAAATCTAATTCTAATTTTGAAATATCATAATGTTCAAAATGTACAGTAATCATCATTTGAAATACTTAAAAGATATTTAAAAGATTATTAAAAGAAATTTGAAAGAATGTCTAAAAGAGATGAATTATTTAGATATGAAATAATTATATGCAATTTTTTCATAAAATAATTTTCGCTAACATACAAAATTTTCCTCGGTGTCTCGGTAACATGATCAAATTCACTAACTTGATGATATAAGGCACAAGATCTTGTCGCAGCAAAGTCAGAATATTCAAATATTGAGCTCGTTAATATTTTTTCTTTTTCACCCCTCGTAACCTCGAGCATATTTAACGCGCTCACCTATATGGTGTATGTATACTTTCAAAGGCAGTGCGTTTCCGAGCCACAGCGTGATTGTACAAATTAGCATACTTCTAGAATAAACTCATGCTTAGTAAATGCGAGTATGTATAGCAAAAAGCGAGCGACATTGACTACCAAAACCGGCTAATGAGGAAACACCGCGCAAACAGTGAGTCGTTCTGAGAGGCTACGTAAATTTTACCTGATGCATGGGGTCGTATCCCATGGAGCCGTCGTTGTACGGCTGCGAGCCGTAGTCGCTGCCGTTTATTCCCATGCTGTATCCGGCCATGTCCTGCGGTCCTCCGGGCGGCGCCGGCGACATCATCGGCGTTGGGGTGCCCTGGCTGGCACCGCCCATGCTGTACGGCGATGCTCCTGTAAAAGCTGCTGTAGAAACAATCGCGGTGCAATACAAAATTTCGAGGGTGCGTTTGTTTAAGTTCTTTTTAAGCCACAACAATTTTTTTCCTCTCGTGTCTCGCGCGCTTACGCTCCCTTTCCGGTCCTCGTAGATTGCGTCATTCATGTCATAAATTCAATTATCGCAGAGATAGATTAAAAAAAAAAACGATATAAAAAGGGCAAGTTAGCATGATTCATCATTGCTTTCAAAATGTAAACGCGTTATAATTTCGATTCGTTGAAAAGTAAGATTTGTTTCTCTTTCGAAAATGCCCTCTCATAGTTTGCTTCAGATTTGTATAAACGTACCCGGCTTCTGAAGCCGAGAGCATCCCGCGCTTGTAAAACCTTCGCGCCATTCGAGACAAGCGTTGTTTCGCAGGGTTGGGTAGCGGGGTCGTTAGAATTCCGTTTCTTTAATTACGAGAGGACCGCGGGCCGTTTCATCGCGAACGTGGACGAGGAAAGACAAACGCAGAGAGTGCTGAAAGAAATGCGAGAAGCTCGGAATTTCCATCGTACCCCAGCGTCTCACCCATCCTCTCTCGCCATCTGACTCGTGTTCTCCCCTTCTCTCCCGTATAATTGGTGAGTTAAAAATATCTCACGCCGGCGTCCGAAATAAAGTGAGACGCCTCGGTAGTTAAGCGAAGCGCGCGTAATTCCGACCGGGGTGAGATCCACGAATCCGTGGAATTTCGGAATGGGATCGGGAATTTTTCTTGCAATTTTCACGAAAACAAAGGAGAGAAGCTCGCCTTCGAGGCCGATAGGAGGACGAAAGTAGCGAGCAAGAATGAGATGAGAGTTATACGTATTCCGAAAATATAACGAGAAAATTTCTCGTTATGTTTTATATACGCTTTGCCTACAATATTTTTGAAAGGTTTCGTCACGGAGATGTTTCTTCTGAGCACTGTGTGCCAAAGAACACAAATCGGTATCGCTAGATTTATTCTCCGTCGGCGATTCATCGATGGTCGTAATAATAATGTCACTGCCACGCCGAACAATAGGCAGTAACTCAGTCGCCTAATGATTTACAGTAATGAGACTTCCTCTATGTCGATTTCAAGCTTAAGTTTAACAAAAAATACGGAAAATATGTACCACGATTTGTCTATTAATTATTTCAATTTACAAGATCTCGAAAACAATTTACATCTCTCGCTTTTATTTCGCTTTTCCTCGACAAAGCTCGACGATGCAACCGAAGAAGCAATAAGCCCGAGAAAACATTGAGAGATAGAAAGAATGGTAGCAACGTAAAAGCACTTTAGAAAACATTTTATAAATCGCCATTTATAAAATAAAATCGTTTTCTATTTTCGTTGATAACGAAAATTGCTTTAAAATGTTGCTTTTCGATTATGATATTCGTACATGGACTTTTTATCAATTTCGTGAATTACTATTACAGAATTTTCCTCATTTAAACAAAACGAACTCACGAAGGGACGCCCGTCGCTTCGTTAGCGAAAGTTGGAACTTACCAGCTGCCTTCTTGGCCGCGTACAGATTCGCTTCCTCCTGCGCTTTACCGATGTTCTTCTTGTAGCGTATCCTCTTATTTCCGAACCAATTAGACACCTGATAACAAACGAAACAAAGATACGCGCTCATTTCAGTTTGCTAAAGGATTTTCAAACGCACTTTTTTTCCATCAAAGTGCTTATAAATACTTTATTTAGAGCTGTGACGTATCCTTTCAAAGAACAAGCTTAATATTAAAAACTTTTAATACTTAAAAAATTGAAAACCATGGCGTGACGCAGAATATTATAAGTTGCAAAAGTTGAATATTATAAGTTTCGTCGTCTAATATATGTAAGAAAAGATAATGGACGACCTGATACCTGACTCACGGTAATTCCGCATTTTCGTGCGAGCTCCTCCTTGGCCTCTTCGCTCGGGTAGGGATTACTGAGGTGGGAATAGAAGTATTCGTTCAGAATTTCGGACGCTTGTTTGCTGAAATTTCTTCTTTTACGTCTGTAACAAAACAAAAATAATTCGTATCCTGTTAAATTGCAGCGAATACTTTCCGAATCTGGATAAACAAAAAGCACGAAAATGACTATGATAAATTGAATGCATTTTATTCGCATCTGTTATTTGTGTTATTTTTATTATTGCTTTAATACGAACCTGGCGTCCAAAAATCGACTCCTCAGGATCATCACGGCTTCGCAAGTGGACTGTTTCAGTTGCATCTGAATGCTGGAGAACTTCTTGTGGATAATCTGCACCATCCTTTCGATTTCCTTCGGCGTGATCGGCCTAGTACGACTCTGTTCCCTCAACAGGTTCATTACGTGAGTGGTGAATTCGTTACAGGCCTAAAACAAACAAAGACAAAGCGTTGGGGTTTAACAATCATTAATCATTCAACAGAAGACGCGTCGAATCTGAGGCATTCATTATGAGATACATTGTTAATTAAAAATGTAAAACTGTTTCAGAGGGACAAATTTGAGTACATTCCGAGCTCGTCGACATGATGAAAGGCGGAGGACTAAGACTAGCGAGACACGAAGGAAAGTACTATGACCAGAGCGTGAGAAGAAAAGTCGAGCGACGAAGCGAGAGAGGAAGTGAGAGACGAAGGACGCGTACATATAATGCATTATTCCTGGTGGCTGCTCGGTTTAAGGGAAAAAGGACTTTGCTCGATATCAGTATTCGAGGCAAGCACGCTGTCTCCCGAAAGGGAGCGAGCCAGAGAGATAGAGAGCGAGACGGGCGGTGTGGAGTCGAGCAGGGGGAGTGGCTTTTCCTGAGGGAAGGAGCCGGGAAAAGGCCGCGGGAGAGGGTGTCAGGATACGGAGGGTAGGCGGCGGAGAAAGGGGATCGAACAGGGTGGCTTGCAATTTCGAAATGGATTCCATTCCGCCGACGAACTCCCCTCTCCCCTTCTTCCTCCTCCTCCCTCGATCCACTATGCGGCTTCTCTTCCTCTCCGTTCTCTTCCTCTTCGTTCCTTTCTTCGCGCGGGACTCAACTGGGGTGGATCAACCCCGTTCCCGTCTTCTCGGCTGTTGCACGTGACGGAGAAAGAGGGAGAAGGAGAGAAGGTGCAAGGAACGAACGGAACGCTGCTGAATTGGATGGAAAAGTCGTAGCCAGTCACATTTCTCCGGACTGATTTCCTTTAATTTCTGAAACGCTTTAAGCCTCGGAGTAAATGATACTGCTATCGATGATGATTCGATAAGTTCTTATGTTAGGAATCGATTTTAATCCTTTGCAGTCCCATACTGAGATGGACTCGACATAATGTGTTGTGATAATCTATTGCATAATTCTCAAAGTATCTATAATCTGTACACAATTATAATCGGCAGTTTAATTGTTTGTAATCTTTAAAAATTCCTCCAAGCAATAAAAATTCCTTGCTACATGTCATTAAGCCACAGCTGAGTAGTTGAAATTGAAAATGAGATACTTGATCTTCACTCATTTGCGAGAAATATTATTCGCGTTTTCGATTATTTTAAAGATTTATTCCGAGACTATCAACGTCCATATATTTCCGGGACACTATACGAATGACACCTCGATTTTTTCATCTTTGAGGATGACGTTGATTTACTCTGTGGACACTCGGGTTATCAAGTTGCAAAATAGCCAGGATCTATGCCACTCTCTACGATACAAATCAGCCGCAAGCATAAATTCGATTATGCAACCATCGGGAACTCTCTCCGGGTTGTTTCCCTAACCGCGGAACAACCGCGGCCGGAGGGAGAGAGAGAGAAAGCGCGCGCCGGTATATTTAGCAATGCACACGTCGGAATTTCCATAACGTTGGCGAAGCCGAGCGTATACTCGCCCCTGTTATATATTCTCGCAATACGCACACGCGGCTGTATTAATAGAGCGTGTCGCAGTAAAATTAGAGCGCCGTGAGAAAATTCGCTTCGTCGGGAGGCACTGAACGCTTTTACGTTAAGACACCACCGTTTTCTCCTTCTCTCGTAATAATAAATAACATGACGGTTTAATTTGTTATTTAAAGGAACACAGGGGAATGTCGTGCTTTACGTACTCAAATTATTCCGATCCCGTTTCGTTCAATAAAATATGATCCGATTGGTACCATCCTATTTTTTTCTCAAATTATGGCAATAGTTCGGAAGATACTTACGTAAGGTACGTAAGATATTTATACATTCTGCTATCATACTTATAATACGATTTACGGTGGATCATACCAGTCGAACGGATATATAGCCGCACGGGCAGTAAAACAAAATATTTATGCGCGCGTAAAAAGCGCCCTCCCCCGCCCGCGAACCGCCGGAAGATGCATTCTGCATTGCTTTTTCCGAGATACAAATACAGGGATAGTCCGAGGTGCGCGCGGTCGGAATCAGAGTTGGGAATCGGATAAAATAAAGGTGGGCATGCACACCGACGAAATTCATGGTAGAGACGATGTTTGCTGGCGGTGATCACGCGATCTCGTAAAACCCGATGCGGTTCTATTCTCGTGCTTGTCACGCTATGTTGCATAGTCAGGCAGACATTCACCCTAATGCAGCAGAGTCGACCGAATTTGAATAGTAAATTTCGCTTATGGCCGAACTTTCTGTCCTGACAACGTCGGGCCGCTAACTAAACCAATTACCGAACTTTTCAGATCCGACGAAATATTTATACCGTGCGTTTTAGCAAATTTTCCTCCGGATATACCGCGCAATTGAGTTCACTTTTTTTTTCTCGGGAGGAGGGGCGGGTGGAAGCTTAACGAACTATCGTTACTCTTTCACGTGTAATTTAAGCCACAAATGGCAATTTCGTGGAAGCCCGTTCGAAATTAAGAAAGAGATTACGGAATAAAGAGATTTCGAAGGAAAAGAAGCGCGGGAGCGCTCTTCGAGAGAGGGGGAAAAGATTTAAAACTCGTTAACGGCCCCGTTTATCGGCGGACCACCCCTCGGCACGCACGAGCTGCATCGCAAAGTGCACGCAAATGCATATGTTTTCGGCGTGCATATTATTGTTGCGGGCTACAAAGAGCCCGTGCACGCATTACAGGGGCGGATCCTGCAGGGCGTATCCGAGAAGAACGGTCGCGAATCATCGTCTACAATTTTCACTGACGGCAGCGCGAATTGCCACTTTCCAGGAATTGTAATCTTCGCAATTTCCGCATCAACGGTCTCGCCAGTGCAGCGGCGCGCGCCCGTCCGCGTTCAGCTCGCGAAATCGCGAAAGAGGACGATGTCGCGCGTTAACGGCTTCCAACTTCCGAAGATTAAAAGGACGCGATGTTACTGGCAAAGCGTTACATTAAAATCATTTTGCGCGAAAATACAGCGTGCCCTTTTAATCCGACCCTGACGAATGCGCCGGTGGACCTCCGGGGCTGTGCGTGTTTACCGCGGGGAAACATCAAGCCCGCTGACACACGGTGAAATATGGGGTCGAAGCGGGTGTGGCAATTAAAGCACACGGCCCCCGCACACACGTGCGCGCGTGTGTACACGCACGGGCGCGGTGTGCATGCACACGGGTGTACATCCGTGGGGAGCGGGCGTACGCGAGCGGCAGGAAAAACTGCCGGCGAAAACGCGAGCGGCGTTAAAAAGAGTTATGCGCGCGGGGCCGATGAGCGGGCCCTATTTACGGTAAAAATGGCCGATTACGCGCAACGTCATGCGAATGTAAGGGCTTTTACGCGCGTATGTCAAGCGGAATGACCGGTAATCTGTCCCGCCCGGTGAAAAAGGTATGCGAGAACACGACCGGTGTGATGAGTACGCCCGATTTTGTAATCGCCGCGCGACTTTACGTCGCGACGGCATTGATGGGTGCCGCACGAGCGCCCTTAAATCGGCGATGAGCGCGGATTATTCTCGAAATAAATTAATTAAAACTAAAATTATGCCGCACTCGACGTAATTCGGAATATCTAGTGTAGAAACCCAATTGTGGAAATTTTCCACGTAATAATTTCATCAAACGTTTGAAACGCGCTTTGACCGTTTAATTTATATCAGAGTGTTTATTATTACTAATTAATCGTGCGTTTGAAATCTTTGATCATTTAATTAATATTTACCTCAGTACGGTTAATTGGCTGAGGAGCTCTATTAGTTTTTATTTCGCCGAATTCGCAAGGTCTTATCCCAACGTCAAAGTCGTCCTGTCACGTCGAGTTATCGCGGCGCGCCACGTCGCGACCAGGTCAGGGCAGCGATTTGAAGAGGAAGCGACCGCGAGGGGGAAACTCCTTAATGAAACTGCTCGCGATAACATCGTCGAATTTCCGTCAGAGCGCGGCGAACGCGGCAATATCTCGACGCAGTGATTTGCGTCCTCTTGAAAGAACCCGTGTATCACGCGACATACAGGCAGAGTCCGGCACGCGAGATTTTACTTAGCGCGAGCGGGCCCGCGGTTCATTAGCACGCGAGTCGCCCTGTCCGAGACCGACTCGACGTCGTTTCTCTCGAGCGTGCATAACATTCCCCCGTCTTATCGGTCCCCGTTCGTTTCGAGCGTTCGCGCAAAATGCACCGAGATTGCGAGCTAGAGTCGCCATTAAACGCTCGTACAGAAAAAAAAGAACAAGCGTTTCTGTCATAACCGAGGATCATTAATATTCGTTTAAAATCTATGGACATATATATATATACACACGACGCGCCGACGAGGGAATTGTTGATGCTTTCCCTTTGATGGAAGATCGTGAAAATACACGCCGTGGAAATGCCGCTTGATGTCACAACGATCATCTCGCTGGCGATTTAATAGCGCGTTATTAATGAAGATCACCGTCTAATACCGGCGGATTACGCGGAATTACACAGCGTGAATTTTCGATCGGTCGTTTTATCGCGCGGGACTCGCGGACCGCCCGTGATCGTCGCCGTTCGCATCTCACGGCGAGAATCCTCTCGCTCGCTCTCGCGTATCATAAACGCAACCCTTAACGAGACCGCGAGATCGTCGGCGGACGATAAATTCGCGTCGACGTCGTTGAATTTCACGAGCGGAGAGATTATCGATGGTGGAATCGAGTCGGGCTGATAGCGCACCGGGATGGCCGAAATTTGTCAGCCGCCGGATCTCGCGATAACCGCGAGGCAACGCGTTTAAATTTTTCATTTCGCCGAGAGTTCTCCCGGCGAGAGTGAGTAACGGTGCTCGTTTACGCGCCGCGAGTTCATTTCAGCCTCTCTTCGTTCGCCTTTTCTGTTTCTATCTCTCTTTCTTTTTTATTTCTCTTTCTTTTTTTCGCGCTCGCAAAGTCGGACGATATAAACGACCGATGTAATTCCGCGACCCGAATTCAATACTCGATACGGCGCCGATAATGGCGCGGATCCCCGCCGCTCGCTCGCGGCGAATAATATTCATAAGCGGGATTTGCATAAAGCGAGCGTGTCGCTATCTCTCTCTCGCTCCTGAGAATGAATAATTTTCGTGGATGTGGGAGGGGATTTTGCGACGTCGCGCGCGCAAACGTAAAAATGTTTGACTGCGGCGCCGCGCGCTGCGAAAATCAATACGCGAGTTAAACTTAACCCGTTTGGCTTAATGGGTCGGTTGGCCGTTTTGCGTTTGCAGTATATTTATAAATTCATCGAGATTAAATTCACGAGGCAAACACGAGTGTCCATTATGCGATTCAGAAACGGAAATCCGGTGTACCAAAAGCGTATACAAGAGCAGCTTTGCAAAAACTAAATACATTTTGGAATCGCTCGATAATGACATTTTTCAGATATTTTCTTTATACATACCTGCTCGTATTTCTCTAGTTCTTGATGATAAATTTGCCTAATCTGAGCAAGTTTGGCCCTGTAGTCTGAATGCTCGATCGCGTTGTCCGGTTGCCCAGGTGGACCGGCCGCAGCTGCCGCGGATGCCGACGCAGCGGCTCCCGCACCACCGCCCTTCTCTGGTCCAGCGACTCCTTCGGCGATCAGCATGTTATCCAGCCTCATTAACTGCGGGTCTGGCGGCTCTTCTTCTTGCGTATTTCTCAGTGACAAAACTGAAAACAGACGAAAGTACCACATGAAATGAAGGCGAAATTATATTCGTGGAAATAAAAAAATTGATATTTTAAACTTTCGAAGAATAATTATTTTACGGAAATGTAACTTTTAAAATCACGTTGGTATTTCTTGTATTCAAACTCACTACTAACTATACCCCAAATTATTCGAAACGACTAATCTAAGTCAAAGGACCTCAAAGAAACGGAGACACCAGGGAAATACACAGCTGCATGTATTCACGTAAAAGTTCAATGAGTTACTCGCGGAACGACTCCGGTTTCGGGGTCGCGCGTTTGTCGATCATAAAAGAATCAATTTTGCCTCTGGCCGTCTCCCCAAGCGTCTCCGTCAGTCTTCCTCCCGTCTTAAGGGCCCGTTGCACGCAGTGGTTTAGAACGGGTGTAGTTCTTCGCGGTGTAACAGCGGTTTTATTGTACTTTTACGGCGCATGATGGAGCTGGACGACCCATAAAACCGCAGAGCGAGGGACTTTCTATACCCTGTCTTTCGTACATCCCTCCCTCCACCCAGTTTTTCCCGCCACCCTCGCGCGAGACTCCCTGCCACCATCAAGATGTACCCTTGTCGTCTTCGACAGTTAGCACCCTCACCCGAGGTAAACGCTGGTATGCAAGCGAAACTAGAACTCTCAGCTTCTTTGACAAAACGTCACGAGGATCTCTTCGTTAAAGAGAACTAAATTCTGCACAGATCGTGTATACAAGATATACCTTGTTTACAGCATAAGATTATGTTTAGTCGATGTAAAATCTTGACAGGTTGCGGCAAATATGATAGAATAAAAAATACAAACTAATCTGAAGATATTGTAATTTTCTTTTGCGAATATTTTAATATAATTATTTCTTATGTTTTCCACAAAAGCTCGAACGATAATTTTGGATTATTAGATTCTTTCGGTCTCGGCGTAACTTTATGAATGAACTCGCGTTTGCAGTTGCCCAAGTCGCTACTTGAATTCGCTGAAAACTTTTCTCGTCCGCCACTTTTCGCCGCGGCTCGCGAAAAAAGTCCCCGGAGACACGAAGGAAAGGGGAACGAACGAGACTTCTCGTGGATTCGCGGAGGCGTGAAACGAATGCGCGAGGCTAATGCATTTATACGAAGTGTAACAATTATGCCAGTGGAAAAGAGGGGCTAGAGTTCTGTTTCTTCGGCAAGACTCTAGGGAGAATCCGTAGAGTAGACGTACCGTTTTAAGCGGCGGGGAAACGTTTCTTCAAGCAAGACATCGCAGGATTCATAAATAGATTCGTAACTTCCGAATTTTTAGAAAGCCATTTTCAAGCTAGTTGACTTCGTGGAAATTTTATACGGAAGAAAAAAATATGATTTACGATATTAATTTTTGAGAGATAAAAATAGTTCTGATATTTCTGGGTCACACGAGCAAACGCTGATTCGTCATTTCTTCAGTGGCGAATGGATTATGTTGAAAATTGAATTATGGCGAAGGAAGGCACGGTCAAATCGAACGGGTTCCAGGAATGAAGTCAAATAAGTTTCGAAATCGTAGCACGTCCCGCGGCACTTCCACGGACGACTTAAGAAGGGGTTAACGACAGTCAACGCAGCCATTAAAACTTCCGTGCAGTGCCGGGAACTTTTCACGGCGCTGTGGGTAATTAAAAATGAAAAACCTCCGGACGGCGTCGCTCGCCGAAGGCGGCGGAATAAAACGTCGGTTTACGGCGATGCGGAAGAAGTTGCACCATTGAAAGTTAAAAGGCCAAGCAATTTCGATCGCTGATAAGAGCGCTCGTTCTAAGGTAGAAATAAATGTTTATCTTCTTACCTATGAAAAGATTATATCATTTTTAATCCATTTTTAATCCTCGTGTAATGGACATTTATTTTGCGACTTATAATATGATTGGGAAAAAGAAAAGATGCTTGAGAGAAAACAGAAAGGGACAATAACATTCATAAATCAACATAGCGTACAATAATGGACATTCTTACACAATTATCACGAAAATCCTGTCTCTCAAATTATTCCTTCCTTTATTTAAGATCTTTTTCCCTCCCGTAATAAAAATTGAAAATCGGAAAGATTAATAGAACGGCGACTTAAACTGACATCAATTGTATACGTTCACATATATGCATGTATTACAGTATATCTGTGAAAATTCTCGTAATGTAAATTCAGGCGACGATGGTGTTCCGTCCCCTTGCGTACCCAACAGCGGAATATAAGAAATCGCGCGAATTAAACGTTCTTTCGGAATTATTTTCGTGCATGGGAGGACGGCGGGGTCGGGCGGGGGTGGCTTACGAGCAATAATCTGGCTATTAGGGGGTGTAAGGGGCGGCTCTGCGTGCTGCCACGCTGAAGAGGGACCGGGGATGGCAGCAGCCTCCTGCGGGGGTCCTTACAAGCGCGTAAACTCAGTTTTACTAGCAGTTAACATTTTACGACTCAGACGGTCTGCTCGAGCCGTTTGTTGCTCTTGCTCTCGTTGCTCCCCACGTCTCTGTCTTTCTGCCGCATTTTCCTGCGCTTTCCCTTTCCCCTTTCTCTCTCTCTCTCTCCCTCGCTTGCTTACGATTGACACGTGTGCGACGCGCGGACCTGTATATGGGACACCCAGTATATAAACTCATGCCTGCTAAAACGTAACGCTCGACGTTCTCGAGGGTCGTTTGCGAATGAAGTACATTAATACGACACCCTATTGAAGGGAGCCTGCTCGCAGACTAATTGCACGACTAATTCGTGCGCCGCGAAAACGGCCAAGTGATTAAGGAAACCATGACACCTGGAAAAATAACGCGTTAACATTAACTCTAATGCCTTCGATATTACGGCGAATCGCAGATATTTCACGTAAAACCGGATCCGGATCGAGTGAGTGGAACAGACACGAACGAATAACTCGCTTCAATGAATGCGAACGGCACCGTACCAGCAGCTCAGACGACTTTAGGTATCATAAGCGGATTATAATTTCATGGGTCAAAACACCTCAGTTCTGGCCGTCGCCCGCTTTTCTAATAAACGCCGCGCTTTCTCGATCGTCTTTTAATATCCAGCTAGAATTGACCTCGTATTTTCTCCTTCACGTATCCGCTACGTATCTACCCCCGTCTGCCCCCCCTTCCCCTATCCGCCGTCACCGCGCTGTTTTCCACTACGAAAAGCGGGTAGCAGCCGACAACCCTTTGTTACCGTGCCTTATCTTAATTGCTTTCACGGGTTCCCGTTTAGATCAATACACACCGCCGGCGTTCTGCCACCGCTCTTCTCTGTTGCTTCGCTCCGCTCCACGAATCTAAATTATCCCGAGGGTTGTGTTTCGTCGCACGCGGATCCCGGCCGCCCGTATTCTCTCCTTTTCTCTCTCTCTCTTTTTCTCTCTTGCATATTTTAAGAGCACCGGTTGGTACCCCGGTGTCGTAAGACTCGCCAGGATGGCCTGAGTTATCGCACACCCGGCGTCGTTCGCGAGATTAGGACAGCTTTTCTCTACGACGTTGTCGCCATTTTAACGCGGATGTGGAAACGAGGTGTGGAAGAATGTCAGAATATCCAGGATACGCGTCACTTAGATATGCATCGGTGCGCACGCAAACGCGATAAAAGCGAGATAGCGCGAGCGTTATCAATTGTTAAAGTTAATAGTTTGCACATTAGAAGAGCGCACGAAACTAGAGAAGATATAAATTATTAATAAGATTATTTGTGCGAAGATGTGAAATAATAAATGGCTTTTCTCAATGCATTTCACCTTTACCATACGAATTATACATTTAATTTAGCTGACTCAGCGTTTCACGTAATATCAACTCTATTCCATTCCTACGTCCATTTTCCTCACCTTTTCGCCTCCTTTCTCACGCCTTCATTCCCTAATCCGTGCGCGGCAGGACGAGAAGCGGGGGAAAAAAGGGAAGGTGGCCGGAGATGGCTGCTCTTTTAATTCGAGGGTGAATCCCGGGCGTAGGGCGCGATACGTTCGCTTTCCGAGAGGGAACCGAGATAGAAAAAGAAAGAGAGAGAAAGAGAGGGGGGAGGGGGAGAGGGGGAAGAAAAGACGCCGGTGTCTATGCCCCCCTGGGATCCGATATCGACGCCCCTGCCGTAAGAATATACCGAGCTCTCCTGATTTACGAAGGAAATCGAGACGCCAGGCTCGTGTTTCGAGGCTCGTCCTCCCTTGTTCGAGACGACGTGACGCGACGCTAACTCGCGTGCCGGTTTCGAATGTCGAGATGGAAAAAAAAAAACAAATCAGCGCACGCGATAAACGCGCGTTTAAACGCGCGGCGGAAAATCCTTCATCGAAATCGAGTATATATCCCCGATATATCTTGTTCCCTCGATCGGATTTAATTCGAGCAGGCACTCAGGATAATGTTCTAAACGCGCAATCCGGTTACGTCGTCTCTCGTTTCTTCCATCGGAATTTATGATGGACTGGTTCGATCATAAAAACGATCGCGAGATGAAAAAAAAAACAGTTCTAACGATTGTAACATAAATTCCGTAGAAAGAATTGAACGAAATGAAACAATTTTAACAATTAAATCTGTGAACAATTTCGAGAAATTTACTCGTAGTCTCGTAAGAATGTAAAATTTTCTTCCCCGCTTTAGCACGCCGACGAATTACCCTTCTAGTCGCACTACTCATCGTTCCACGACATACCCCGTTGATCGCGGATTTATCGATGCGGAAGTTCCGGGTGCCGAGGCGACGAGAGCGGGACTTCTCGGTCGGGCGAATCTCGAAACTCTCTTTCTACCCGTGGAAAACAATGTTTTGCGAAGTTCGGCGCTCGTTCGCGCGTATATCTCCCGCTTTATGTTGCTCGCGGGAGAGGGAAGAGCTTCTTTTCGGCGATTTCTTTCGCGCTCCGGCAATTCCGTGCTTTCGCCGCCCAAAAAAGGATCCCGCGCGCGAACTATGGTATTTCGCCCGCAACGCTCCCGCGATGTTTTTCCAGCATCGACGTCGCCCACCCTCCCC